CTTTGATGTGCCAAAACTATGTAGGTACTGTACCTCACGTCCTTCCCTCCCTTCCCTTCCTTCCTTCCTTCCTTCCTTCCTTCCTGCCTTCCCCCCTCCCTTCTTCTTTCCCTCCCTCCCTCTTTCCCTCCTTCCCTTTCTTCTTGCCACCCCCCCCTCCTCCTCTTATTCCCATCAGCGGCCTTAAGATGATTTTTTTGTTTTTGGCCAGTGGTGGGGCTTGAACTCTGGGCCTGGGCGCTGTCCCTGAGCGCTTCAGCTCAAGGCGAGCGCTCTACCACTTGTGGCACAGCGCCACTTCTGGTTTTCTGGTGGTTCGTGGGAGATCAGAGTTTCACAGACTTTCCTGCCCGGGCTGGCTTTGAACCGTGATCCTCAGATCTCAGCCTCCTGAGTAGCTAGGATGACAGGCGTAAGCCACCAGCCTCCGGCTCTTAAGATGATTTTCTTACGGCTGCTGCAGAGGACAGAGAGCCCTTGTGGTTGCGTTGGGGGAGGGGAGGGAGAAGGAAGGGACTCTGGGAGAGAAGAGCCCTCCCTCTGGCAGGGATGTTCCAATCTGACTCCCAACTCCTCTCAGCCAGAGCTAAGCGCCCCCCAGTGGAGGTCCGTTGTCATACCATCCTCAGTTAGATGAGAAGCGGAGAGGAGGGGATCCTGCATGGACAGCCTGTCCTAGCCTGGCCCAGCTCCCCCTCCTCCCCCCCCACCCCCCACTGCAGCTACACTGGCACACCGGCCACGACCCAAGTGCGCACCCTAGCGGCTGGTGCCCAGAGCCTCTCCCTTTCTCTAAACTTTCAGACTCACTGCGACTAGATTTTGGAGTAGGGGCACCATTGGAAAAGAGATAAGGAATGTCAATTTGCCAGGGTTCTCAGGTTTCTTGGATGGGATGGGTTGGAAATCTCCAGAAATGAAAAGTGACCTCACCTTGAAATCCTTGAAAGCTCATTTCCTAGATTGGCAAGGGACCTATCAAAAAATAGCACAAAGGGCTGGGAAGATGGCTCAGGGGTAGAGCGCTCATCTAACGTGCATGAAGCCCTGGGTTGGATTCCTCAGTACCACATACATAGAAAAAGCCAGAAGTGGCTCAAGTGGTAGAGTGCTAGCCTTGAGTAAAAGAAGCTCAGGGACAGTGCCTAGGCCCTGAGTTCAAGCCCCAGGACCGGCAAACAAATAAATAGTGCAAGGTCATTTGGGTCCAAAGTAAAGGCCATTCTCTCTCGTGATCCCTGCCGAAAGCTATCCTGAGAGTGTTTCCTTTTTAAATAAATCTCTATTCTTTACCAGGACAACTGTCCAACACCCTGCCTCCGGGAGGGGCTGTCCCAGCTGATCAACGTCACCCAGAAAACAGATAGAAAACAGATTTTCTATCGAGTGAGAAAGGTAGTTGAAGTTCTAAAGTACAACAAGTGTCCGGTGAGTTTATATGAGTTTATATGTCATGGTGAGGGTTTTATGGGGCTGTTAAACAATAGAATCAAAACCGAATCCACCAGATATTCCATTGCTCCCTGTAGTTAAAAAAAAATGCTGACACAGATGAGGCCACATTCTTCTCTCTGTTTATTGGAGAATGAAAGAATCCATCCTGATTGTCAAGAGAAGGTGTAATCAAGAAAATCAGGCCTGTGCCCCACACAATATTCAATTATCCTAAAGATTCAATTTGCTATCAAGATAGATATGCTGGCCTATATGCTAAAGCAGATTTCTTTTTTGTTTTGGTTGGTTGAAAAAGGTGTTTGTTTGTTTTTAAGGACATGCACCCACATCGGAGTGAGCATTCCCATGCGATGTGGGGTGGGGGCTGGGCATCTCTCAAGTCCCTGCCATGAGCATCTGTAGGAAAGTGCAGAAGGCAGGAAGCCCAGCACTTGGCCACTGAGCTACGCTGGAGGACATATGGTTCTAAATGCTCTCCTTGTGTGAGGAGGAGGAGGAGAGGGAAGCTCAGGGAAGCCCTCGAATTTACCTGATGCAGTCTACGTGATAAGTGGCGAAGTGGAGATTGAACTTGGATCTGGTGACTCCCAGGTTCACTGTGATAATGAAATGACCTTGGAAGGACCAGTCAAAAGAATCATGAGGCATTGTAGCCCTCAAGGTGGCCTCTAATTGGATACAGGGAGGGTCTTAGGGCCACCTGATTGGTGCCCATGTGTGTACGTCAACCATGTCAGCCACTTAGATTCTATCAAGTGCCCACCAGCCCCGGCCTCTCATTGATTTACTGTAGGTCTCAGGACTGGAACCCCCAGGTTCTAGGCAGGGGGGAGGGTCCCAGGCCTCTTGCTCCCACAAGGCTTTTTGCCAACTTTGGCCCAACTTTTTTTTTTCTTTTTATCTCTACAGTCATTTTCCTGTGAACAGCCGTGCAACCAAACCATGGCTGGTAACACCATGACATTTCTGAGGACGCTCCGGGAAACCTTCCAGAAAGCCACGGGAGCGATGGGAGGCCAAATGTGAAGAACTAATGCTATTTATCCTATTTATTGAATTTTAAAAGCCTTCTCTTTAAGTTGTTGTGAATTAAAAAAACAAAACAAAACAATGAAGCGAGCAAGCTCTTCTAAATCAAAATCTGTTGTGACTATTTGTTTGGAATTTTTACGTCTTGACTTTGGAATAAATACATGTGAGGCGGGGAAAGAAAAGAACATAAGCTGCTTCCTATTTATTCCTTGCTGAGCAGAATAAAGGCAGCTAGAAACTTGACCAAGGGACAAAAATAGATCAAAGACTCCATTATTTAAAACAAACAAGCCAGGCATCAGTGGCTCACGCCTGTCATCCTAGCTACTCAGGAGGCTGAGATCTGAGGATCATGGTTCAAAGCCAGCCCAGGCAGGAAAGTTGGTGAGACTCTTCTCTCCCCTGAACCACCAGAAAACCGGAAGTGGCGTTGTGGCTCAAGTGGTAGAGCGCTCGCCTTGAGCTGAAGAGCTGAGGGACAGCGCCCAGGCCCAGAGCTCAAGCCCCACGACCAACACACATACATACACACTCACACACACACTCTTGCCTGGAGGCCCTGACCCCTGGCTGGGCAGTAGGCACAGTTAGGAAGTTCCAAGTGCCCGCTTGGGGCTGGCGTGGGGCAGGTGCTCGGTGAGCCTGGCCCACCTGGATGGAAGGCCTAAGAGGTGTGGGCATGCGATGGAGATGCTCAACGGGGTCCAGATATTGGTATTTAGATGGGGCCTCGCTATGCCTGGAAGAGAAACAGGGCCAGAGCACACCGCAGCTGCCTTCCCCATACCGGGAGGGAAGCTGCCAACCTCCTCTTTGGCCTTCCCAGCCCTGTGGTGGGTAGGTGGAGGCAGGGTCAAGGCTGGAGGTAAAGGAGTCTGGCCGTGGAATGACCCTCGCCCCAACATCTGGGGCTTTATTTATTTTGTTGATCGTAGGACTTGAACTCTGGGCCTGGGCGCTGTCCCTCAGCTCTTTAGCTCAAGGCGAGCGCTCTACCACTTGAGCCACAGTGCCACTTCCAGTTTTCCAGTGGTTTATTGAAGATACGGGTCTCACAGACTTTCCTTGCCTGGGCTAGCTTTGAACTGTGATCCTCAGATCTCAGCCTCCTGAGTAGTTGGGATGACAGGCGTGAGCCACTGGCTTTAGAGGCATGGAACGAATAGCAGAGGCCTTGTTTATTACTTCGTTCATTTTTGCATAGCTGGGGATGGAACCCAGGGCCTTGTTCCTAACGAGACAGGTGCTCTACCAGCGAGCTACCTCCCCAGCCCCAGAAACGAGAGGCTTCTCAAAGGATGACATCTTTTTGTAGCAAAACCTGCTTTGGAGATACCGAGATTCCAGTTGCTTTCCCTCCCGGGTATTCTAGCCTGTCCCTGGCTACTTCTCCTGCCTATGGTTTAGAAATCTCAGGGCCTCCAGAGACAGAGACCCTCAATGGGCTTTGTCCTTCATTTGGACTCACCTGTCCAGCAGACAGTCCTCGGCCCGCATCGAGGTGTATGGATTGTGCAGCTCTTTCGGCGATGAGGTGGGCATCGATCTGTTCTCTCCTCGTTGCCATATCACGCTGCCAAAACAGGGGTGACAGAGACGGGGACTTAGCCAAGGGGTCCAGGGAACTAAGTCTGAGGAAGGTCTTATTATCTGGGTGCAGAAATTAGGAGGGCCTGGAGAGGCAATCATACAGGGGTAGGTCTGGTGGGTGGTGTTGGGGTTTGAACTCCATGCCTAATGCTCGTGAAGGAGGTGCTCTACCACGAAGTCATGAGCCCAGCCCTTCCCCCTTATTTTAGCACCCATCCAGGTGCTCACCCAGATAGACCAACGATGTGGCTGCTTCAGGCTTCCTGTCGAAGCTGGGAGAAGAGTTGCGTTTTCAGTTAGTTCTGGAGACACGGATCAAAGAGCAACATGTTGGTTTTCTCAGTGAAGGGTCCTCTGCTGTCACATTTTGTCCTCCCTCTGTGGCCACCTGACATTTTTCTTTTGGGGGGAAGGCAGGGATTCACCCCATCAACCCACTGCTGACCTGTCTGCTTCCCCTGCGCGGGGGGGGGGGGGGGGGGGGGGGGGGGGGACAGGTCGGGCTAGGCTAGACGCAGCCCCTCCCATCCCCATGGGAAGAAGGATTCGGGTTTCAATGCTCACGAGCAGATTCCAGAATCTCCCATCGTTTTTTGTGCCTAGGGACGTAAAAAGCTCTAGCAAATAAAGCGTTTCTATTCACCGGCATCAAGCACTTAATGTTTAAGCCCTGACGGTAGATATTAAACAGACAGTACCTCATTTCATGTCCTAGGAATGACAGGAACCGGATATTATTTTTAGTTATTTATTCATTTATTTATTTATTTACTTTTGTCAGTCATGGGGCTTGAACTCTGGACCTGGGCGCTGTCCCTCAGCTCTTCAGCTCAAGGCGAGCGCTCTACCACTTGAGCCACAGCACCACTTCTGGTTTTCTGGTGGTTTATTGGAGATCAGAGTCTCATGGACTTTTCCTTTCCAGGCTGGCTTTGAACTGTGATCCTCAGATCTCAGCCTCCTGAGTAGCTAGGATGACAGGCGTGAGCCACCAGCGGCCTGCCGAGGTTCATTCTTTAACCTTCTTGAAAATGAATACAAAACCTCTTCTGCCGAAATGAGTTTTCACACGAGGCAGTCGAGGTTTGAAGGCCAGTGAGTCAAAACACCCCTGAGCTGTCTGAGTTGTTTGGGTTTCACAATGGGCGATAAGGGATTGGATTACTGCTTGCTTTTCCCCCTGCTCTGGGCTCACCCACACTTTTATCTGGGGGCTGGGCAATTTCCTGGAGGGACGGAGGCTGCTGTGGGGCGGGCGGGGGAGGGCGGGGGAGCAATGGGGTACTTCCTCTTCCATCTGGGTTTTCTAAGTCTCAGGAAGCCCCGCCTCCACGGTGCTGGGAGCCCCAGGATCATGACCTGGCAGAATCTGGTGGTTTGGGCGTGGTTTCAGAGAAGGCAGTCTGTCACCCGAGATGGGCCAGAGCAGCAGCAGCAGGTGACCATTCACTGCCACAGATGAGCCAATCAGCAAACCTGGTGTTTTCCCTTAGGTCTTCTCAAAGAGAAAATAAATAGGAAAGCATCCTGTGGCCGAGGTCGCATGTGCGGGTGAGCGCTGAGGCCTGCAAACATGGCTCTCCCCTCTCTGTGTCACCTGGAATCAATGAAGCCACCTTGGAGAAAGGAGAGGAGATCGTTACATTGCCGGCAGTTTTCCTGAACCCCAAGCACTGAGAATCACGCTTCATGGACTGTCTCGCAACAACCCTGTGAGCTATGTATTCTTGGGGCTTGAACTCTGGGTCTGGGCGCTGTCCCTCAGCTCTTCGGCTCAAGGCGAGCGCTCTACCACTTGAGCCACAGCGCCGCTTTGAGTTTTCTGAGTGGTTTGTCGGAGAGAAGAGTCTCACCGACTTTCCTGCTTGGGCTGGCTTCGAACCACGATCCTCAGATCTCAGCCTCCTGAGTAGCTAGGATGACAGACGTGAGCCACTGGCGCTAGGCTTTGGTTCTTTATTAATAGGAATCCTTGAAGCTCTAGTCTTAGCCAAGGGGCGGACAATGAAAGAGACGTCAGAGAGCAAGGAAGGCCAGCCCCTGCTGGGGGTACTGCAGAGCTTGTGGGTGGCAGGTGGCTAAACTCCACCAAAGGAATGAGAAACGAATGGAGTGCATCTGAACCACAGGTCCTAAGACGCCTTCAAGGCTGAAGAGAGAATGCCTCTCACCACCTCACACCAGAGGCGGCGTAGGCAGAGCCTCCTACCCCTAGGGCAGGGCCTGACACAGCCCCTTGGGGGTCCCAGTGAAGACAAGGTTTTCCCACCAGGCAACAAGGCCTCAGCTTGACCGAGGCTAGACCCAGGGGTCTAGGGGCTAGGTGGGAAGAGAGCTGCTGTCATAGGAGCTGGTACCAAGGGCAGCCGTGCCCCGGGGCAGGCTGGGAAGAGCACCAGGGGAGGGGAGAAGGTCTCCCCAGGTCCGGCGGTCTCCTCACATCTCATTCCCCAGAATCCAGGGTCCCCTGAGAGGGAGGAGGAGAAGAAGATCTTGAACTGAGTGTTTCTCTTGCAATGTCTAAATCTTACCTTGAAACGGCCAAAAATCAATCAATCAATCAATAAATCACATCTTCTGCCAACTAGTAGAAAGGAGGCTTGGAAATGAAACCCCCTAAATTTAGGTAGGGGGGAAAAGTAGTAAAAATAAGCCTCGGTGTATTTCCCACACACATTTGAAGCCACCTGAGCAGACGGCTTGGCCATCCCAACATCAAGAATACGCCAGGCGCTCAGGGTATGGTGAGGAATGGGGCTGGACTTGAACTCGTGGCTAGAGGACTGAGCCAGCAGGGCCCTTCTCCACGCTCAGCCAGAGACGGGACACGGTACTCGAGCAGATGGGTTTCTGGCTCTCTGGCACGCACAGTCTAGACTACTCTTTGCTGGGCAGAGCAGACTCTGGGAGTCAAAATCCTGAAGGGCTTTAATCAGCAATTCATGGAGGGATTGGAGCCCCAAAGCCCTAAGAGACAGGCAACTGTATTTCACAAACGTTACATATTTCTGATTACAAGGTAACTATAACTCAGGCTCTCTGAGAGGACCACGGCAGGTGAACACCCAAACCCGCGAGTTCAACCCCAAACTGTATTTGCACGTTACAGATCACAAAACCGCATGTGCACTTGATTCTTAGGAGAGCTGTGGATGGCAGGCCAGGAGGCTGGTGTGGCCATTTTACCAGGGAGGAAACCCTAGCTGGTGAAGGTCTCCCTAGATGGAGTTCCACCCCCCATGGAGAAGCAATGAGAAATGGGAATCTGGGAAGGGAGGTGCCAAGGGTCTGGGTGTGGTGGATTGGCTTGTCATCTAGGCCAAGGTCGAAATCTGCCAGGCGGACACCTGCCTGGGTTGGGTTGACCTCTGCTGCCACCAAGTGGTGATTCCTCCACATAGCGTCTTAGGAAGCTTCACATTTACACGCCATGACTGATAGTTTGCTTTTAGTGATTATTATTTTTTAATTCTCAATTTCTGGTAAGTAGTGGAAGATAAGCAAACGTTCTTTGGGGAACTGCTATTGATAGGGTACTGCTGGGACATGGATGTAATGTTTCCAGTAAAAGCACATGGTCAGGTCAAGCTCCAGCTCCCTGCTTTGTTCAATGACTGGCGCTCTACCGCTTGAGCCACACCTCCCATACCAACTTTTTGCTGGCTAATTGGAAATAAGAGTCTCACACACGTTTCTGTCTGGGCTGGCTTTGAACTGTGATATTCAGATCTTGGCTTCCTGAGTAGCTAGGAATAGAGCCACCGGCACCAGCTCAAACACACATTTTTATGGCTGAATGCGTGAAAGGCCATGGTGTATTGACTGAGAACTGGAACCTGTGCCCCCACGTGAGCCACCAGAGCACCTTCTCCAGGGAAATCCGAAACTCCTGGGCTGGGAAGGTGGCTCAGGGGTACAGTGTTTGCCTCTCATGCATAAAGCCCTGGGTTCGATTCCTCGGTACCACATAAGCAGAAAAACCCAGAAGTGGCATTATGGCTCAAGTGGTAGAGCACTTGCCTTGAGCTGAAGAGCCGACAAAAAAGAAAAAGGAAATCCACAACTCCTATATAGCCATCTCCCAATAGTGTTCTCTTTTGCTGCTATAAATGGCCTTGACCATTGTGGCCAGTGACCGCTCAGCAGGGGCAAAGCCAACGCACCCTGATCTTCACCCTGAGTTCAAGCCCCACAACTGGCCAAAAAAAAAAAAAAAAAAGAATTCAGAGAAGCTGGAAGGGTCCAAAAACACAAATCAGATCGTAGCTTCTCAGTGAGCATACAGAACACCGCAGCAATGGCTACTTTCAATCGAACTGGGCGGCAGGGACCAGCACGTGGCCAGACATGGCAGACCTACAGCAGATGAACTAGACTACAGCCAGATGAACTAGATGATCTAGACTATAGCCAGATGAACTATAGATGATCTAGACTATAGCCAGATGAACTAGATGATCTAGACTATAGCCAGATGAACTAGATAATCTAGACTACAGGCAGATGAACTAAATGATCTAGACTACAGCCAAATGAACTAGATGATCTAGACTAGAGGCAGATGAAGTAGATGATCTAGACTGCAGGCAGATGAACTAGATGATCTAGACTACAGCAGATGAACTAGATGAATTAGACTACAGCCAGATGAACTAGATGAACTAGACTATAGGCATATGAACTAGATGATCTAGATTGTAGCCAGATGAACTAGATGATCTAGGCTACAAGCAGATAAACTTGATGATCGGAACTGCAGCCAGATGAACTAGATGATCTGGACTGCAGCCAGATGAACTAGATGATCTGGACTACAAACAGATGAACTTGATGATCTGGACTGCAGCCAGATGAACTAGATGATCTGGACGACAAGCAGACGAACTAGATGATCTAGACAGCGGCCAGATGAACTAGACCCGAGGGGCACCTCCGCCCAGCATCCACAGTGCCTGTCACGATGCACTCTAGGGGAGTGTAACTGGAGGCTTCACAAGCCGCCCTCATCTCCCAGAGGAAGGGGCTCTGGGGGGGAATGTGTGGGCTGCAGCAGGCATAGACTTCGGGAGCTCATCATGAACACGATGCCCCCAACGGCTGGGCAGCCATCACCTCCTGTGGCTAGGGCCTTAGGCATTGAGCCCCGCCCCACCCAAGCTCAGGGCCACCATCCTCCGAAGCCTCATCACCACATGCCAGGCTGCTCGGGCTGGGGCCAGCATCTGCAGGGCTTTCTCCTTCCAGTCAGCGCCTTCTCCCTGCCCACTTCAGCAGCGAGGAGAAGGGGAGTTACCTGAGGAGAGCAGGTTTCTCCTGGGGCCGGCATGGTATCTCCAAGGGGCTCAGCATACACAGGGACCCAGATGGCCGAAGCCTCTCAGCAAGCAGGCAGAGGCATCTGACCCAGAAGCGACACGAAGAGGTTTCCAGGGCTTTTTATTTGGAAACGTTAAGAACCACTTGGAGCTCCTCTGTGAATTCTAAGGGAGAGGACCACGGGGTTGGGTGCAGGGTTTATTTGGCTCAGATCTTTCCAGGTGCTGGGTCTAGAACTGAAGGAGGAGGTGACTCCCCGCAGCCCCCAGTCTACTGATTCCTTCCCGGGCAACCTCAGAAGCTGGGGGGGGGGGGATTGAAGGCACTCCAAGGCTAGCATGTGGGCCAGAGCCCTTCCCCTCCCCGCCCCCCTGGGGTGGCTAGGCCCTTCCTTCCCTCTTCTGGGAGATTCTGGAAGATTCACGATGGCTGGCTTTCAGTCGGTCAGCCTCGTCCGGTAACGGAATGAGGTTCTGAGGTTCTGAACTGCCCTGAGAGGAAAGGAGAAGCCACAAGAACCAGCTCTCCATCTAGGGGTCAGTGGTCTGCCAGAGACTGTTTCTAGAAAAGCCCGCCACGTGCCAAGGATCGTGTGGGTGCTGAAGGGTGGGGGTGGGGGGGCTCTGTGTGGGTTATTTAGGAACAAGGCAGGAGAAGAATGTGTCTCTTTTCCTCAAGGGAAATTTCCTGGTACCGGAAGGAAGAATACAAACCGCCCCGGAAATTGGGAATGTGTGTATCAGGACAAAGAGTGGAGCGGTACTGTTCTAGGAAAGTTCTGGAGCCGTGGTCAGGGAGGTGGGCCAGAGACAAGACCTGGACAAATGGTGGTTATGACCACCCCCATTTCTACCACAAAGGGCATCTTCTTCGACCTGTCCAATTCTCCTTTCTTCCTATGAACTGGTAGCTCAGGTGGTAGAGTACCAGCCAAGTAATCAGGTGGCCCTGAGTCTTAACCCAGGTATCAGAAAGGACAAACCTTCCCAGTGCTGGGAAACAAGTTTAGAGAGTTAAGAAGTAGACACATAAGGCTGGGCACCGGTGGCTCCCGCCTGTCAGCCTAGCTACTCAGGACGCTGAGACCTGAGGATCATGGTTCAAAGCCAGCCTGGGTAGGAAAGTCTGTGAACCACCCCCCCCCCCAAAAAAAAAGCTAGATGTAGAGCTATGGCTTGAGTGGTAGAGCACTAGCCTTGAGCAAAAACGTTTAGGGACAGTGCCCATGCCCTGAGTTCAAGCCTTAGGACACAAAACAACAGAATGATAACAAGGTCTGGCGATGGTAGGTATTTGTGTTTTGTTCTATCTCTTTGCATTTTCTATTTGTCTACAATTGACAACACATTGGTTTTATGATAGGATTAAAGCATCTTCACCTCTTTGGATGCAGGGGGATTGTGACATCTGAACAGGGCTTTAATAACCAAACCACGTCCCTAGCCCTGTCTGGATGCAGGAACTCCTCACCAAGATGTGCACGTATGTGAAATGTGCCTCTACCCTCTTCCTTTTACAAAGGGAACGCAACAGGACAGGGCCAGAAAAGCTGTGGATCGGGGTGTCTAAGGGGCAGGGGAGGGAGCCGAGGAACGCAGATTCAAGGGCAGGTCTTGGGTGGCCCGTGGTGCCCCCTTCTGGCGGCCAGGATGCGGCGCCACCCAAGGCTGCCGGCGGCCTCCCTGGAGGAAGCAACATTGAGGCTCGGTGGGCTTCTTTGGAGCTAACCCTCCTTGCTGGGGGGAAATGTGTAGTCATGGGGGCTTCTGGGTCAACTGGAAAGTTCTGTGACTTGTCGCTGTTTGTCTCCTGGACTTGGCAGGTGACCCGTTTGGGGGTCAGAGGGAGAGACCCCCCCCAGGGGCTTGAACGCTCCTCAGCCAGTGCTGTCAGGGAGGAGGGGCTGGGCGTGGGCTGGCTCGGGGCCGGGCGTCCACAGGACTGGAGGACAAAGATCTTCGCTCTGAGACCAGGGGAAAGGGAGGCGTGAGAAGAGGGCGGCCGAGGACACAGCCCGAGCCCTGACCCAGGGGTGAGAGAGGGTATAGGAGGTACAAGATGGAGACCAGAGATGAGCAAGGGGGAAAACTCCAGCCCCACCTACCCCAGGGCGGGCAGAGTGACATTGGTCGACTGGCTGCTTTTGCACGATGAAGAAAGGAGGTGCACACTCACCGGGGGTGGGGGGCGCGGGGAGGGGGGCGCTCAGGGGCTGGTCACGGCGTGGTCTCCGCGGAGGGCCTGCAGGGAGAGCTCGTAGCCAAGGAACATGGCCGCGCTCATGGGGAAGCCTCGCACCGCGTTCACCGTGAAGCCCCTGAAAAACACCTGCGGGTGCGCGAGTCGGGTTAGTGCCAGGCGTGGCCCACACCCCCAGGGTCGGAAATGGAAGGGGCTGGCCCAGCCCGGCGCCGGCCTCGATGGAACCGCAAAGGACCCGTCTCAGGCCCTCCGCAGGCCGACCCAGGCCGCGTTTGCCGGCCCGGTCCTGAGTGTCCTGGAGACCGAGGCAAGACCCCGAGCCTCATAGTCAGGTCACTGAGTCTGCCAGCCTCCGCCACACGGCGATAGGTCCTGCCCGTGACACCCCCCAGAGTGGCAGAGAAAAGCCACTAGACCCACCACAGCCGTGGGATAAGCCACGTCGCTTTCCCAGGTCCCTGTGTTACTTTGTCATCTCTTAGCAAGAAGGAGCCCCCCCACCATGTTCCTGCTGAGATCTGCATCGGCCACTACCTGTTCCCTAGAGAATACTAAAGCATGCGCCCCATGACCTCCTTAAATATCCATGCGTGGCGCCAGGCACGCGCTCATCAACGTGAGCACCGCCGCTCTGATTCCTGTATCATCTCCTCAGTTGAATCCACGGGGAGCTGGTCTTTTTCAGAAGCCCTTGGTGCTGCTGGTTCCCAGCATGCTGTGGTGAGGTCACTGTCATTGGCCACAGAGGTCAGCCTGATCCAGGAAACCCGCCCAGGGCCTGGACTGCACGGAGACGAGCAGGTGACTCCCCCAATCGGCTGAAGCCTCTCAGTCAGGGGACGAGCAGGATCTGGGTAGTGATCGTTTTCCCGTCTAATGTCTAATCTCTTAGAATTCCCCGGGCTCACTCACAGTGACTGAGTGGTGGCGAGGAACTGGTTCAGGCTCCAAGAGGAAAATTCCATGCCGGGTACCCACAGAGGCCCCCCCACGGCCTTGGCTTGGCTCTGTCCTGCAAGGCTGAGTCTGCCTAGGCCCAGCTTGGAGTACCAGGCTCCTGTACCCCAGACAGAGCTCCTGGAAGTCACTGAGGCCCTCAGGGCCTGGGCGCTGTCCTTCAGCTCACAGGGGCTAAATGTTCTTGAGATCACAAAACCCATCGTCTGGCCTTTATAAAGTGGCCCCCTAGGCTTTCCATTTTACAAAACACAGTGAATTTGGGAGGAAACCGTATCAACTGTATATTTCTGCCTCTATGGATCTCTTTGAACTGACATGCAAATTTAGGAGAAATAGAGCATGACATCTCAAAAAGACAATCACCCACTTGGATCTCTTAGCTGTGTTTCTGCTTTAAAAAGAATAAATCAAATGCAAAACCCAGCAGAGGCCATACCAAGGCTTCTCCCACTACTAGAAGGAACTCTCGTTAAACAAATGCAAATACACAAAATGTTCAAGTATGGAGAATAGAAAAGCTCCAAGTTGAACTATTCTTCTAACACAGAGACAGAAACAAGGTGGTCTGTATCTTACGTCTTATGCCACAGTACTGGTGCGGGGCCTTTCTTTATAGGCTGTGGTATCCAATTCCTGGCCTTTGTTCGTGTACCATCAGTGTCTTAATTAACGGGTGGTGGTTTGGGGAGAAACGTGCATTCACCTGTGATCTGATCGGGGCAGAGGCATCCCAACCCAGGTCCAGAACCCATCAGGTCTGGGCTCACCACCGAGGAAATTGAAGGGAAATGACAAGTCACTAGAAAACTGGCTTCATCCGAACGTAACCAAGGTCCCCAGGCCCGAGAACATCACCCCATCTACATCAGTGCTTACAAAGTAGGCAGGGGCCCAGGTATCGGGGAACTGAAAACGCAAGACCGGAGGCGTTCCCTCCAGGAACTTTGGTCAAATCAGATTGACCATCTCCTACCAAGGAAGCTCTGACTGATCTCTGGTCGTTTTGTCTTTTGGTGGGCCCTTTGGTCTGGCCTTTGGGGGAGTTTGCATCCAGCCAGCTTCACACAGAATGTCAGCCATTCCCCTGTGGGGCCATCCAAAGGTCTGGCACGTTCCCAAGCAGCAAAGGGAACAGACCAGGATCTCGGACAACTAACAGTAGGAGGAGAAGAGGCTGGGAAAGAAGGCGCTGTCCATGGTGGTGGGTGAGATGCGTGGGCACGTGCAGGACCGGAAGCCCAGTAGAGTCTGGGGACGGGTGTACTGGGTGTAGGGGAATGGGGTGAATCATCATGGGTTTAGCCATGGCGGGGATGGGCTCCGTGATAACAATGACATAGATAAGCCGGGCGCTGGTGGCTCACGCCTGTAATCCTAGCTGCTCAGGAGGTTGAGATCTGAGGATTGCGGTTCAAAGCCAGCCCGGGCAGGAGGGACCATGAGACTCCTATCTCCAATAAAACCACCAGAAAACCGGAAGTGGCGCTGTAGCTCAAGTGGTAGAGCGCTTGCCTTAAGCTGAAGAGCTGAGGGACAGCGCCCAGGCCCAGAGTTCAAGCCCCATGACCGACCAAAAAAAAAAAAACAATGACATAGATAAATATGTATGCATGTATACATGTATGTATGTACGTGTGTCTAATATTACAGACCACAGACTTAACTCTGCCCCCCTGGATTAAGCCTGGAACTAAGCATCCTTCATACGCCTAATTTCATCTAGATCCTAAGTACACCCTGGACTCTGTGGTGGGATGATCAGAGAAACTGAGGTAAAACCATATGCTTGGATCCCTCAGCTCTCGGGTAGTTAGAACTCAAGACTGCCAACTCGTAAGAGCCAGGCATCCTCTCTGGAGGGCGAAGAATCTGTTTCTCCCCCATGGAAGCCTCGTCTTTGTTCTGGGCTAGGATGGCGATGGCCGGGGTGTGGGTTGTTGAAGAGGAGAAGAGGAGGCGCAGAGTCCAGGGAGCCGGATGGAAGAGACTCCATTCCAAGCTCAGATCTCTGGCGTTGTAGACCTGGGCCAGGGGAAGAGAAGGCCCATCGGGAGGCTTGGAGGGGGTTAAGAGGAGATGACCAAGGGACGGGAGAGCGCCCCCTGGTGGGAGGGGCGGCGGGGGGAAAGGCTGCTCATCCCATCCTGAGAAGGCCAACTGCTCAGCTGTGTGGCTGTCTTCTCTGGACTAGTCAGGAGGGTGGTATCTCCACTCCCAGAAGTGCTTGGTACTCGTTAAGCTCCAGCCCCCTCTAGGGTCCCCTGCTCAGGGCTGTCCAGTCTCCCCCGGGGCCGTGGGGACCTTACTTTCAGGCCTTCCTGCTGGTAACTCTGGGCGACGCAGTCTAGGACACCCCTGTATTTGGTCACATAGACGCCATCGGCTTGGAGTCGACTTTTTACCACGTCCATAGGGGTTGCCGTGCCCCAGGAAATGGCTCCTGCGGAGGAGAGACAAGGAACGGGTGTTAGCCGGGCACCGACGGCTCACCCCTGTCATCCTAACTACTCGGGAGGCTGAGATCTGAGGATCGCGGTTCAAAGCCAGCCCAGGGCAGGAAAGGCCGTGAGACTCTGATCTCCAATGAGCCACCAGACAAAACAGAAGTGGCGCCGTGGCTCAAGTGGTAGAGGGCTAGCCCTTGAGCTGAAGAGCTCAGGGACAGCGCCCAGGCCCAGAGTTCAAGCCCCATGACCGGCTCCTTGAGGACTTCTCCCATTCAGAAATTCTGTAATCTGCAGAACTCAGGGTGAAGAATCTGTTCCTGGTCCTCCTGCTGTGGGACTTGGTGGCTGTCTCTTGCTTCCTCTGAGCCTTGAGACCCTCATCTGAGAATTGGGGTGTCAGGGCCACTTCTTTATGGGGTTGCTTGATGGACCCTGGGAAGCGATATCCATGAAGAAGCCTTGAACACAGGACCAGTTCATAGCCAGGACTTGGTGCACGTCAGTGTTATTAGCACTTTTTATCCTTTTCTTTGTCTGAGACCAGGACTCAAACGCAGTACCTGATACTTTCACTCATTGGCTAGCGCTCCACCAATCGAGCTACGTCTCCAACCCCTTAGCAGCTTTTATTGGTTGGCAGGCCACATGTTCCACAGAACTTCATAGCACCTCCCAAGGTCACAGAGAACCTGGGGTCTGTGATTGGTGGCTGGCAGCTCCCGGGAGGCAGGATTTACTTTGGACTCAGAGAAGCTGCACAAACATTTGCACAGAGGCGACGTTCCAAGTAGTGCTAAGCTTGGAGGTTAGGGGGGATAAAAAAAGATCAGGGATATTGGAAAGCAGAGAAGAGAGGATCACAGTCCAAAGCTAGCCTTGGCAAGGAGCGAGAAGCCCTATCTGAAAAAGAAACGGAAAGCAAGAAGAACTGCAGGCTTGGTTCAAGTGGTAGAGTGTTTAGATAGCTCTGAATTCAACCCCCAGTACAGAAAAAGAAAACACAACGAAATCCACGCTGAAACCCCTTTGAACAAACTAGCAGACACTCAAGAAAGAGAAATGTCAGGTTTCTGTTGGGCAGTGGGCACTATTTGGAGAAGGAAGGCAAACATATAACTGGTGATAAAAACAAAACGTAGAGAAAAAAGGAAATAAGAAGAAAATCAGGAACAGTTTCTGTCCAGGGATGTGGCATAAAACCTAGGAGCCACATGCCACTGGTCACGCTTGCTGGGTAATGAAACCAGGTGCCCTGGCTTAGGCATTTCTGCCACTTTGGAAGGACGCCAGGAAAACCATGCCAGGTTACTGTATAAACACAATAACCTTGGATGGGAAGAGAAAACAGATACCAAAGTCCAGGACAGCTGGTTTGCCAGGTTTTATATCTGTTGTTCAGTGGTTCTCAAAGTGGACCCTAGCTCCTCCCTGGGCCTTCTGCCTCCCAGGGCTTCTGGAAGCTTCTCTGATGTCCACTCCCCTCCTGCTTCTGCTAGGACAGCCGGCCGCTTCCCTCGGTGCTGCCCCTGTCAATCAGGCCGCCACAAGGGCTGCTCTCAGCAGATGATAGGTGCTACTTGCTGTCTTTCCAGCCAATCAGCATGCCCACCGCCACCTCTGCAGGGCAGGCTCCCAGAGAACCTGCAAGAACGCAGGTGGAAAGCTATTGTGGGGGCACTGAGAGGAGAGCTTTGATGTGTGTTTGCTGAGATTAAAGTATAGTTAGGTCCTGTGGTGACCAAGACCAGAGTGTGGTTCAAGCTGCAACTAAGAGAACAGCGTGGTTGGAGTGGAGGAGATAAAGGAACCGCAAATGAGGTCAGCAGCATAGCTGAGAGGCCAGAGAGGGACAGGCAAGCCACTCAGAAGATGTTGTCACTTTCCCCTCAGCCCCCAAATAAAGTGGGGGTGCGGTGCAGGATTCTGATGAAGGAGGCGAGCCCATGGCCACAAAATGAGTCAAGTGTGGATTTGAACTTGGGGCTTTGGGATGGCAGAGTCCTGGCTAGCCCGCCTGTCCAAGCTGTATGATCTTGGGTTGGTGGCTCAGCATCTCTGACATGGATTCCTACCTCACAGGCCTCCTGACAATCCTTCTTACACCCAAGCCATGACACAGGGTGTAGACAGAGGGTCCAACGGGGCCGGGAGCCCGTGGCTCATGCCTGTCACCCTAGCTACTCAGAAGGCTGAGATCTGAGGATCGCGGCTCATGATCTCCAATAAACCACTCAGGAAACCAGAAGTGGCGCTGTGGCCCAAGTGGTAGAGCGCTCGCCTTGAGCTGAAATGCTCAGGGACAGCGCCCGGGCCCAGAGTTCAAGGCCCATGGCCCACCAAAAAAAGGAATTCACAGAAGGACTGCCAATCACCCAGGAGGGAAGTACCAGGGGTCACCACCCACTTCCTGCTCTTCTTGGGTTTACCTGAGCAAGCACTGCTGGGTGTTGCTGGACCAGTCCTGCCTCTCCACCTCCCTACCCTGCCCACCTTGGCAGGCCCGGGAATAGGGGCTCCCTTACCTGCCACCCCGCCTGCCAGCCACACGGCGCAGGGGCTGGGGCCTGCGTGGGCCTCGGGTGTGATCCACTCACTTAGGAACACGTAGGGGATGAAGTAGAGGCAGTAGCCTGGGATGTCCCTCAGCAGCATGGCACTGGCTCCCCGGTACAGCCCCGCCAGGCCCTCGGTCCGCACGATGGTGGACAGACAGTGCACGGGCCCCTGGTACACTGGCGGTGCCCCAAACGCCAGCGTCCTGGGCTTCAAACCGAGGTTGGCTGCAAAGACAGGGAGAAGGGGAGGAGATGGCCCAGGAAGGTAAGTCACCGGCACCAGGGCCCGTCTCCCGCTCTTGGCGGTTCGCCGTCACATGGCCTATCTGTCGTCACCAAACCTTTCTTATCATCTCGGCAACTCCCACCAGGGTTCCCGACGAGAAACGCTGCCAGCCAGGCGCTGGTGGCCCACGCCTGACATCCTAGCTACTCAGGAGGCTGAGATCTGAGGATCGTGGTTCAAAACCAGCCCGGGCAGGTAAGTCCGTGAGACTCTTATCTCCAATAAACCACCAGAAAACTGGAAGTGGCGCTGTGGCTCAAGTAGTAGAGTGCTCATCTTGAGCTGAAGAGCTGAGGGACAGCGCCCAGGCCCAGAATTCAAGCCCCATGACCAACAAAAAGAAAGACAGAAAGGAAGGAAGGAAGGAAGCAAGCAAGCAAGCAAGCACTGCCAGCAGGCACCCAAACTGGAGACCCTCCAGCTAGGTGATAAGGATTAGTAGCTTTGGGATTCCAACCGCTTTCTGGTCAAGCATCAGTACTTGTTTCTAAACAGAATGCCTAGGATTCACTGTGACAATTACAGCAAGCTCTTTCTTGAAGCCAAAGCTAAAAAGCCTAATATACTGTGTGTGTGTGTGTGTATACACACTATGTGTGTGTGTATGCACACACATGCGCATGCATGCTGGTACTGGGGCCTGAACTCAAGGCCTGGGTCCTGTCCCTCAGCTTTTTTTTTTTGCTCAAGGCTAGGACTCTTAGCACTCTACCATTTGAGCCACAACTCCACTTCTGGCTTTTCTGGCGGTTCACTGGAAATAAGACTTGCCACGGACTTTCCTGCCTGGGCTGGCTTTGAACCACGATCCTCAGATCTCAGCCTCCTGACTAGCTGGGGTGACGGGCGTGAGCCACTAGTGCTGACCTGGTGTGGACTGAGGTCAAGGGAAGGTTTCTATCTGCCTGAGAGGAAAGCTTGAACAAACTCCTCCCCTCTTCCCAGGGTGTTGGGGAACAGGGCGAGATCCCAGACCTCCCACGGTGAGGACATCAGTCTGAGCCTCTGGCATTCCCTCCATCGGGGTGGGGCAGGGCCAGGGGCACAAGGCTCCTTAGGGCAAGATCCGTCATGGAAAGCCCCCTGAGATACCTTTCCTCCCCCAAACACATGGTGATGTGGCCCTCAGATGGGAAACATGTCCTTGTTGCTCTGTGTGAACTCCGGCTGGCTGTTTTTCCTCTCTAGCTCAAGCCGGCCTGAGCAAGAGTCAAGGTTTTCATGAATCAACTCTGGGTGGGTAGGAGGTGGCTGTCAGGAGTTACTGATTGAAAGGCAATGTACAGACAAACCACCTCTTGTTTAGAGGTGGAGATGTTTAAAGGGTGCTTGCCCAACGGCCAGATCAGCTTGCTGGGGAGAGGGGGTGGGAGGGGAAGGAAGCTGGGGCTCTTCCTTTTCTTTCCAGGGTAAGCAGTAAGGAAATTCCCATTCTCCTACATTCGGGACCTAAGCAATCGCCTCTTCATTGCTTGAGAATTCGCTAAGTGCCGATTAATGTAATTGGCGTGGCGGCCACCGTCGTGAAGATGCTGACACAGCTCTCCATGGATCCCAGGTCATACTGAAGCCCTAACTCAGCTTTCTGTGACAGTAAGGAAAGGCGTAAGGGAAAAGACCTGATGGAGGGAAAGGATTCACGTTCTCCGTTTGGGAGGCCCCTTTCCAAGCTGGGTTTGTCATGAGCAAGTATCTCGTGGTGAGGGAGCAAGGAGGGGCAAACCAGCTCACCTCATCATCCACGAAGCAAAAGGGAACGGGGAAGGGAGGGGCGGGGTCCTACTACCCCCCAAAGACCTCACTTCCTCCCATTAGGCTCCGCCTCCCATTAGGCTCCGCCTCCCAAAGCCTCCATTACCTTCAGACTTTGGAGATCAAGTCTTTGCTTAATGCATGGTGGGGGGGTGGGGGGGGGGGGCACATGTGCAAACCCCAGAAACTGTGATGCTCCTTCTAGCCCTCTCCCAGCTCCCAACTAGGGTAGTGGTGGCTTTCAGGGGCTACTGATTACAGGCTACTCTACTGGCAAGTCACAGGTCAACTGACCTGCGTTGTCAAAAGGTCCAAATCTTACCTTTTTCCCCCCTCTTCAATAAGGAAACTCTTCTGCACAAACATCAGGACTCTATCTACCCCTAAATACTTCTGAATCTATTTCCTGAGTAAGCATGCAGTCTGATAAGGACAGTAATCAGTTTTACACATCTACATTGGTAATACTCTTTTAATCTAATCTGCTATCTGTAAACTGTTCATCTGACCTCACTGTAAACTCTGTAGCATTTTCTCCCTCTGGGACAAAGTCTCCCAACGGAAACATCCAGCTCTTTATCGGGAACATTCCTACAGCCTTTCGGGGCTTTCTATGACACCAGCATTGTGTTGAGAGTGTATCCCCCTCTTTTCCTTTTCCTTTTTGGATTTCATTCATTGGCCAGCGAACGATCTACCAACTGAGCCCCGCCTCCAGCCCCGCCCCTTTCTTGTTAAGAGAAAAGTCCTCATTCAGAGTCAGTCTGAAGTTTCCTTGTCATACCCAGAGGCAAGGAGGCTCGACTGGATTTCTTTCCCTTCCTGTCTTATCTTTTTAGTAGAGACCAGTCACTCTCCTGAGCCTCTGGGCTTGGCCTCCTCTGGCTTTCTATCTTCATTTATATTAGTTTATTTCTAAAAGGAGGTATAAGGGACGCTCACTAAAAGGTTGAGCTCTTAAGTACGAGGCTGATTCGTGACAATTGCATTGACCCTACGTCACCACACCCTTCCAAAGAAAATCACTTCTTCCACTTGAGACAAAACAGAGTTCTCAGTAACACCACGGCATAGGTTGTAGTTGGAGAAAACTACATTTTGGTAACTCTCCGAGGCTGATTTGGGGGGTTACTGGCAAACAGCTCTTGGAAACTCATAGACATGCTTCTCTGGTGAAGTCTATTTAATTTCTCTAGGATGCTCTCTCCTTTTTTTTTTTTTTTCTATAGTGAAGATAAGCCAAGCTTTGCTCATTTCTTATCGTGAGCACTCTGCCATTAAAAGCAGAGCACATTGTTCAGCATTGTGGCCTGCCAAGTTCATGGGCTCCGCTCAGCAAGCATCTGACACCTGTGCTGTTGGACCCTTGGGCTAACGACACTCCAATGATCTCCCTAAATCATTCATCCCACCTACCGCACCCATCCGAGATGTTTAGTAGCACCCAGTACGGTCATCACTTAGCAGACCGCCAAACCCTTCGGGCATGTCCCCAGGGTCTCACCAATGGGAACCTGGTGCCTACTTCCTGAACTCTGGGTCTGGGCGCTGTCCCTCAGCTCTTCAGCTCAAGGCTAGCGCTCTACCTCTTGAGCCACAGCGCCACTTCCGGCTTTTTCTGCTTATGTGGAGCTGAGGAATCGAACCCAGGGCCTCATTCATGGGAGGCAAGCCCTCTACCACTGAGCCACCTTCCCAGCACCTTGTTCCACTTTCTAAAGAGTCTAGCAATTGCCCCAGGGCCCGGAAAGCCAAGACAGGCTCCTGCTTTAGTGGGAAAAGCCCTGCACAGGGGTCATTTGCATCCCTGTTCAGCAGCTATGGGCTGTACAACCCTGTGCAAAGGACTCGACCTTGCTGCCTTTGTCTCCTCCACGTTGTCAAAAGGGGTGGAGGGTTCACGTCCCCTCTTCAGGAGGAGCACTGGTGGCCTCCTTCAGCTTCTGTGTTAAAGGAGAATGGTGACAAGTGCACTCGATTCAAATGCGCGCTGCAGAAATCCACTTTCCTTAGAGGAAATAGCTGTCATTCCTATGTTTATGAACCTGTCCTGATATGACTCTGGGTTCTGAAAGTACTGGACGTGCCAACCTCAGGTGTCCTGGCCTGTAGCCAAGATCGCTGGTGCTCATCATCGAGGGCCAAGAATAACCAAGACTGGCAGCAAGTTCAAAATCGAGGACAATGCTTGCTGTGGTCAGTGGACTCCAACAACCAACAACGTATCGCCTTCCAAGGGTTGATTACGTTGCACGTACCTTCATCAGCCTCTGGTAGCTATGTGGGACTACAGTTTGAAAAAGGAGACCTAGTCCGGAACTGTCTAGACTCCAGGAGTTCTAGCGCTTTACCCAAGCCTCTCCACAAGCTTCATTCCCGCTCCTGGGCTGCTAGTGCCCCAATCCAGTGCCCTCCAAGGCCCAGACTGGATAGTCCTGGGCTGGCTCCAGGATTTTGTGTCCCTTGTCATGTTCCCAAGGCTTTCTGACTTTCCACGTAGTCTTTCCTTAGGAGCTGGATGGGACCGTGTGTGACTTCTCACGGTCTACTATCATACCTGCCCTGTACTAGGGAAGTCTTCCAAACTTCTGCTGCCGCTCCCCAAGCTCACACTACCGGAAAAAGAGGATTTTCTTCTAGAGAGTGACACATCTTATGTTTTGTTTGTTTGTTTTTGCCAGTCCGGACGCTTGAACTCAGGGCCTGGGCGCTGTCCCTGAGCTTGTTTTGTTCAAGGCCTGCACTCTTACCCCTTGAGCCACAGCACCACTTCTGGCTTTTTCTGTTTATTGGTACTGAGGAGTCAAACCCGGGGCTTCATGCGGCTAGGCAAGCACTCTACCAAAGGGCTTCATATTATAGAACAGGTTTGATGGCCTCCCTGCTTACCTCTCAGCACAGCCTGTCGTATTGTTTGGCATATCCAGCATAGGGCAACGTCTGTCCTCTTTCTCCACCTAGATTATCTTACACATGTCGGAGCGAGGCCTTCTGATATCAGCTCTCCCAATACTCTTCCTCTTGCTCTCAAAAATTCCGGTCTTAAGCCAGGCATCAGTGGTGGCTCACGCCTGTCATCGTAGCTACTCAGGTGGCTGAGATCTGAGGGTCACGGTTCAAAGCCAGCCAGGGCAGGAAAGTCCATGGGACTCTTATCTCTAATGAACCACCAGAAAACTGGAAGTCG